AAACTTCTTTAAAGATTGTAGAAAAGAACTGCAGTAGAAAGAACAAGTATAGTTTATTTTAGAAAATGAAAATGTACGCTTTATTACTTCTTTAAATTAAGAATTGTTGCTGGGAATAATTCAACATTTTACCTATGTTTAAGCAAAATTAATGTTCTGATACATTCTCCTTACTCATCGAATAAGTAAGAAGAGCATAAAATCCAGTCCAAATAGCGTATGGGAGCAGAAGTTGACCAGCTGTTTTGTCGATCTGAAATTTAAGTAAAATAGAAAGTTAATGATGAGCATTGACAACTGCCGAGCAATTCGGAAAGTGCATAAATCATCTGCCAGTAAACATGAAGTAAAACTGAAAAATCAAAGTTGATAACTAATCAACGATTTCGAAATAAGTAAACAAAGCAACCAAAAATGAACCTTGTAAAATGCGAACGCTGCACCAATTGCTGTTGCATTCAAAAGCACAGTGTTTCGAAACAACTAAACGAAAGATTAAATTTAACTGTACCAAAGAAAAATTAATCTAAAATCAGCTCTAACTTTAAAAAAAAAGGAACAAAAATGGGGTTCGTCCTTTAAGGAACAACTGAGAAGCATTTAAGGAGCTAAAAAGCTCTAAAGTACAAATCACTTACGGAAGTAAAATTCCTCTTCTTGATTAAAGGAATTGTTGTGAGAGCAAAGATCGTGTTTAACCCATATAATCCAAGAGCTACCTTCGTATCGGTGTAATGCAAACCTATAAGAATTTGCAATAACAATAGAATCAATACTCATACTGTCATCTTTTTCTCTGTTGTGTTTGAAATTGTTTACAATATTTTACGCTTATGTAAAAAAATATCGGAAAGAAATAAAATGACCAAGAATGTACTAATATAAAATGACCAAAAATGTACTAAGATAAGAGGTAAGCAAAAAATTTTTGGTTTAAATTTTAGATAACCAAAAAACTTTTTTATCATAATTTTCGCTATTGCAAAAGTTACTTCGTTTCAAGACTTAGCCAAAAAAAACAAGAGAATAATGCTTCCTAATAAGTAGCGAATCGTAAGAAATTAAAATCATAAGGATCTATGGTACACTTACCACCTCCGTTCTTGTAAACAAGATAGGATGCATATCCCAATGGGCTAAGTGTCACAATATCAAAAAGAGAATATACCACTGGATCCTTTGGAGCCCAGTTTGGCTTTTTTGCATGCTGAAAATCATTTTAATGACGAAGTATATTACTTACTGCAACAGTGACCAAAAATCAAAACATAAGTAAGTTCACTAAAACAAGAGCAAAACGAAACAAAAAATACCAAAAATATCAAATATCTAATGGAAATGATTTGTTAAACAAACAGATAAACCGGAAAAACAAAATACATGCGATACTTACTGTCCACCAATCTACAACGTTGCGATCATTTGCAAATACGGCAAATGCTGTAAAAGCAGTGGCACCAGGTATCAGGCTAGCCAGGATAGCATTCCTCGTATCTTCCGATGTCCATATTGGCTCGATCCCGAAGCGTCTCATTTTCAATCAAACAATATTTACTTCAATAAACATTAAAATATGATGAGCAAACAAATAAACAATATAAGAACTAATTAAGCGAATAAATACACTTCAGCAAATATAATCAACCTTATGCATGAAAAATTTCAGAAAAGAAACATTTTACAGCCTAAGATCTGTTTTTAATACAGTATAAAATAGATATTTTTTAGCAATAAATCACTGGAATTATATGAAAAATCTACTTGCATTCCAGTGATCATCGACAAAAAGTGGTGTATTCGTTTCAGCAAATAAAATCAATTATTTCGTCGATTATCTGATTATTGAAATACTATTTTACCTCCTACAATTGGCACTTTTATTTTCTTCCCAGCTTCTCAAAATATTTGCATCATTAATCTTCCATTTTTATCTCACTATTTCTCATTTCCTTTCATCCGCTATCCTCTCTCTCTCTCTCTTCCTTCTCCTCCTCCCCTCTTTTTAAATTTTATTCTTTGGTCTTTCCATTTCTCATATCACCCTCTTTGCATCAACAAATTTCCTATAAAATTCCAAATTATCAATCTTACTAAGGTAAGAATATGATTCTCGTATATGGCGCAAATACTTTTCATTTAAAACATAAATGGAAATAGATATGCGTGAAAACTGCACGCAAATAGCATGTTTTCAAATTTCCACATCTAGATTTATGTTAGCCATAATAGAAAGCGTGAAAATTGGAAGCGTATATGCAATAATCATTACTATATATATATATAAACGAATCAGTTAATATTATCACTAACAATCATTTAATATTACTAATCTTGCTGAAATTGTTGGTTAAAAGTTAAAATTACACAGAAAATTAAAATGAAGTAACGAGATAAAAAAGATTAAGAAAAATGATAAACTAATGAAAAAAAAGGAACAACAATAGCGCCCATAACAAATATATTAGTGACTATGTAAGCGATACTACAGTTAGTAGACAAAAGGAAGACAAAAGCTATATGTGGGCGAGTTAGTAAACAACACAAGAGCCTTTATCTAAAAGCTATTACGAGAATCACTTTTTTAATTAATTTCACATAAATGGGAAAGAGAATTTCGCTACGACCATAGCGCGTGGCCATGTACCATGATAAATTTTTGGCGGTTATTGAGCGAGCACGTGACGTAGGCATATTTTAACGGAGTCGCGCTGCAAACCACATTCTCCCGCAGAAATAGGTTGTTTTAGTTTTACTTGACTCAGTCGATTTTTGTTATGTTGTGTGATTTTTTGAATCGGTTGCTAGTTACATGGACGGTATCTTTGGATTAGCATTTGATAATTTTCATAATTCTAGATGAAAGAATGTTAATACATTAAAATATTTACATCCGGAGTTTCGGATAAATAGAACTTAATAGTTTCTTATCGAAGACAAAATGTTCAAAAAACAAAATTTACGTTTAAATGACTTGTTTTATTAGGACTTCGCGAAGTTTTTGGAAATTTCCTTTGTAAATTAAATTTCAACAATTGTTACATGGAAAGAAAAATGAAGTGCAGTATTTGAAAGATATGATATCACTTTAGTTCTTATCATTCATATTTTGTCATTGTTATTTTATTATATATGCAAGTAATATTTAATATCCAATCCACAAAACGTGTGGTTCATAAGTTTTGTTATCAATCTGAAAGAAGTGTCATACTCTACCGGATGACTAATGAAAATAACTGATTAACCGGAACTGTTGTTTGTTTTTTATAACACGTTTTATAGCATTATAGTAAGTTTTTTTTTCCTTATAATTACGTGACTAGTTGGTAAATTTCTTGTCTACCAATTAGATAAACTTTAATCGATTAAAATTATTAAAGTCTTACTCTTAACTTTTTTTTTACTTGAAATTTTCCAAAAAAAAAAAAAAAAAAAAGGAATTTGTTAACAAATTGAATCGCTGCAATAATGAATTTGTTGATATTATTTTCATAGTTATTTGTTTTTAAGAAGCATTACCAAGAGGTTAAAATATCCATAAATGAATGTTTTGGTGCGCATAATGGTAATGATATTATCTAAATTTCAATTTTCATTCATTTTTTGTTTTTTACCAAACGATTAAACATTTACATGAAAATTTTTGAAATTTAAAATAATTTGATTTTTGAATTTATTGAATTGATATTTTTTAGGTTTTATGTTAAAACCAATCTTTCTTAAAAAATCGTTTAATTCATTTCATCACTGTAAATTAAAAAGGAAAATTTTTAATTTTATTGATTCAAAATAACAATTTTATCATTTACTTTTCAATTTTTTGTTAAGTTTTCGTTATTTGAAGTAGATAAGAATGAATTTAATGATATGGCAAATGATATTAATGAACAGATTGTAGAATATATTTCGTATCATTTGTTGTCCAAATTACTTCCGAGTCTAAACATTTTACACGAAATCTGTAATTTATTAAATTAATAATTATATTATTAGTATCTTTTATTATTATTGTTATTATTTATTTATTTGTTTATTATTATTATTGTTATTACTATTATGCTATTGTTATTATTATTATATCGTTAGATCATTGTTATCTTCCACTTATCGATTTTTCGTTTTTTTTTTGAAAAAAGTGTTAAAATGAAAATTAATTTAGTTTGAAGAAAAATTTAATTGGAATAAATAAAAAAAAAAATAAAAGCAATATAATAAGGATTGATGGTGAAGAAAAAATGTACAAAAACTGAAACAAATATAAATATTTTACATAAGTAGTAAATAATAAATTTTGTTTCAAATAATTTTTCAACTTTTCACTATAAATAATTTTCAATCTTTAATCGTTTCAGCAATATGAAGAAGGAGGATAATGTGTATACATTTCTGAGATAGAAGAAAATTATGGAATAATTCAATTCACTTTAACTTTAAAAATAAAAAAAAACAAAACAAAAACAAAAACAAGAAACAAAAAACGATAGAAATGCAATATTAAAAAGAATTAAGAAAAAAAAAAGAAGTTTCACATAATCTAAAATTAATTTTAAAAAATAAGAAAAAGAATCAAATTTTATCTATAAATAAAACTAATGTCATATTTTAAAGAATTTTTTTTTTCCCAAAAATATTATAAAATTAGTTGGGGAACTAATCAGTGAGTGCTTTCCTTTTAATTTCTTTTTAATTTTTATTTTTAAATATCTGATTGATTGTATTGAATTTTTGATCAAATAATCCAAGTATTTTATTTGCAAATTTTTACTTTTTTTTTTATTTTTATTTTATTTTATTTGCAAAAGCATAAACATATTATAGCATATAAAACTTACAGTGGTTAAAAATTTCAAAAAATAAACGATTCAAATTTACAATTATTGGAATTTCAATTATTGATATAAAGTAATCAAAAAATTTGATTGAAATCTATAATTTAGATTAAAATTAATTAACAATGATAATAATATAAAACAAAATGAATGGCACAAGTGTTACTATTAATTTTAAATTTCTGAATTCAAACTTTTCATCGTATGCAATATAAACGTATGAAAACCAGTCCATAATACGTATGGTACCATTAGTAGGCCAGCGCAACGATGAATCTTAAAAAAATTAAATCTATAAAAATTAAAATTTTAATTGATAACTACTAAAATATTATTTGCACATAACAAATAAACAATTTTGATAGCTCATTAATGTAATTACAAACTATAAAATATATATATATGTATATATCTAAAGAATAATTATGTCTTCTAGATTATGTTTTGTGGCAACAAAATGAATAGAAATAAACAAATAAACAAGCAGACAAAACCAAAACAAACAAACAAACAAACAGGTTAGCAAATAAACAAATTAGAAAACCTTATAGGCGATAAGAGCTGATCCAGCTGCTGTTATATGAACACCAATCGAGAAGTAATATACCTAAAATAATTTATAATAAAACAAAAAAGATCAATAAATGCATTATTAAGAAAATTTCTTTTTTTTTTTTTGATCTGAATTTTTTGTACTTATATCTTTAAAGTTTAGAAATATTTATTTATTTTTGAATTCGTTTTTTTTTCTTTTAAATCAAAAATTTTGGAATTTTTTTCTCTTTTTTTAAAAAAAAATTTGCAAAAATATATATTATTATTAAAAATAAAATTAACAACATTTACTTACAGCATTTATATCTTTCTTTTTCATCGATGATAAAGATGTAAAGCATAGCATTAAATTGGTACCATACAAACCAATTGATAATACTGTTAATGCATTACTCAAACCTACAAATATTCCGCATTATTCCCGCCTTATCTCGAGATTTTTGTAGAAGTATTATAATTATTTAATTATTTTATGTATTTGTTTACTTATCTATTTACTTGTTCATTTATTTATCTGTTTATTTATTGATTTATTTATTTATCTATCCATTAATTTATGCACTTTATTTGTTTATTTATTTAATTCAATTTATTTTATTTTTGTTAGAAAATAAAAATAAAAAAATTAAACCGACAAATTTAAACAACAACAAAAAAAAAAAAAGATTAAGCTAACAAATTTATTTATTTATTTTATGTATTTATTTACTTATCTATTTATTTGTTCATTTATTTATTTGCTTATTTATTGATTTATTTATTTATCTATCCATTAATTTATGCACTTATTTATTTGTTTTTGTTAGCAAATTAAAATAAAAAAATTAAACTGACAAATTTAAACAACAAAAAAAAAAAAAAAAATTAAGCTAACAAATTGTAATTTAAAATATATACAGCAAAATGATTTAAATTAAATTGTAATCATAATGCTGCTGTTAAATTAAAATGTATTTTGTGCAAAACAAAATTAACCTAATGTAAATTTAAGCAAATTAACAATTAACTAAATTAATTGCAATATGACTAATTATTTTAATTAGTTTTTAAAATTTTAATATTTCAAATTAAAAAAATTTTTTTTAAATTAATTAAAATAAAACAAATAACATACCATTAGCATATTTATAAATGAAATAACTTGCAAAACCAACTGGTGCAATTGTTAAAAGATCGATGCATGCATATGCATGCAATGATTTTGGTGCCCATTGTGGTTTTTTGCAAGACTGCAATATAATTTTATAAAATTATATTATAATTAAGTAATTTCATTTCATATTATATTTCTACAAAGAGGGAAAAAGAGAGAGAGAGAGAGAGAGAAAGAGAGAGAAAAAGGAAAAGTGTGAAAAAAAAATTAAGCATTAAAAAATTTTCCATAATATTCTTAAACAAAAAAGAAAAATGCACATGACTAATTTTTTTTTTGATTGATTTTTAAAATTTCAATATTTCAAATTTTAAATTTCAAATTTAAAAAAAAATGATAAGAAAAAAGAAAAATTTTTTTTTACATTCCACCATTCAATTGGATTATTTGATTTATAATATGGCAGACAACTAATTAATCCAACAGCGCCTGGTATCATTGCTGTAAGAATGGCATCTTTCGTATCATTTAGTGTCCATGACAAATCTAAATTTTATAATGTTGTCATAATCAATAATTATATATATAAATACTTAAATAATTAAATTTTACTAAGTTAAGAAAAAAAAATTTTTTTGAAAAACTTATCAGACAGTAATAATTTAGTATTATTAATTAATTAAATAAAATTAAATATTAATTAAACATTAATGATTTTTGAAGCAACATCATCACCACAGTATTATAATTATATATTTATTTAAATAATCAATTTTTACTAGGTTAAGAATATTATAATATCAAAATTATATGTATTTAAATAATTAATTTTTATCAAATTAGGAAAAGAAAAATTAAAATAGTTTATTATGTAATAAAAATTCACTATTATTAATATTAAATAAAATTTAATATTAACCAAACATTAATGATTACCATAAAAATTTTCAAGTGCTATTTTCCATTTTATAATTTAATTAAAAAATACTTTTTTTTTTTAACAAGACCGTTTTATTTTATTTCATCAAACAAACAAACATATTAAAAAAGATATTTTCAACAATTACCATAATTGATTATACAATATAATAATTCTAAACGAATTATGGAAAATTATTAATTGACTAAAGGTTAGATAATAATTGTTACTTTTATAAATAGTTCGTTTAATTTATTTTTATTAAATGTTTAAAATTTATTAAACTTTAGTACTAATTGTGTTCAGCAATTTATTTATTTATTTATTTATTTAATTTATCATTTTGTAATTTCGAATTATTATCATTTCTCATTTTACAATCTCGAATTGTTATTGCCTTTTAATTTATCATTTTATAAACTGGAATTATTATTATCTTTTAATTTATCATTTACAAACTCGAATTATTATCTTTTCTCAATTTGTAATCTCGAATTGGTATTGCGTTTTAATTTATCATTTTATAAACTGGAATTATTACTATTATCTACCAAATCATCATTTTAAAAAAAAGTGCGAATAATTTTTAAATCTTACCATGATAATTATTGTTGTGATAATTATTATCATACAATTTGTTCAAATCCATTTTGAAATTTATTGAAATAATTTGATTTGAAGAATATCGTCCACAATACACCCAACAAAAATATAATATTGCAAAGGAAGAAGGATGAGAAAAGAAATGAGAAAAAAGCATAACAATTGTGATAGTTTTTATTTGTAAACATTATTGATTGAAAGAAATATAACATTTTTTTTTTTTTATTTAGTTTTAATAAATTTTTTAAAATAAATAAAATTTTTCGTTTCTTTTTTTTCTTACTTTTCTTTGATAATTAAAAAGAAAAAAATTTTTCAAAAAAAAATATTTTTTCTTAATATTTTTTTCTCTAAATAGCTTATATCTAATTTAATCAAACTTTTTAAACTATTATTCCTATGCTATCAATTACCTATTTCTTCATTTGTTTGTAGCAATAACATGGGTAACATACGGGCAGCAACAATTTGGGTAACTGTGGGCAGCAATAATTTGAGTAAATTATGAGTAGGTAATAGCAATGATACCACACAATTTAGGGATGCATAAATTAAAATTACAAAAATAAAATACAAAAAAAAAAAATTAAATAAAATGAAAAATTTTTATATTAAAATAGTTTAATTTCTGTAAATGAAAGAAATTACTAAATTATTTGTACTTATTAAAATTAAATTAGTAAATAATTATTTGTATTTATTATAATTAAAAAATTTTGTTTTCTTTTCAAGAATATTATATATCAAATTAAAAACTAGAAAAATACTATCAGTATAAATGCAATGAATGATAATTAAAATAAATATAATAATTAATAATATTATTAGTTATTATTTAATATACTTAGTCTATTTCTAAAATATGCAAAATTATTTTAGAATTTTTAATTTTAAATAATATTTTTTTTTGGAAATATGCAAAATGTATCAAAGAATTTCCAAGATATTTACATTTATTTACAGTGTTTAATTTAATTAATTATATACTCTATTAGAAAAATTTGCATATTTCATTTATTGCACTAACAAATTACCAAATCATTCGTTAGTATGCATAATTAATTTTAACAGAAAAAAAAACTAACATATTAAATTAAATTATTCATTTAAAAAAAAATAAAAAATTAAAAAAGGCAATTGATTTTGCACCATTTTTTTTTTTAAATTATTTTCATCAAAAAAACTTTTCTTTTTTTTTTGGAAATTTAATTGTTAAATTCAGTACACAACATTATGCATAAAATGTTAGAAATGATTGCAAAAAAAAAGAGAAAAGAAAAAAAAAACAAATTATATAAAAGTTTATTTAAAAGTGTTTTTTGGAAATTTAATTAATTTAATATTTCTCTCAATTTTATCATTTAAAAATAAAATTTAATTTAGCGAATAATTTATTGCTAATTATAATTCGGGAAGATATTTTGTTTTACTTTCTTGTTATTTAGTCGATTAAAAATTTTTTCGTTACTAAATGAAAAACGAAAAGAAAATAAGATAAAAGATATCCAAATGAAAAGTAGTGTTGATAATAAATCATAAAATTGATTTACTATTATTCATGTTTAAAAAAATCACGATTAATTCCGTAATTACGTTGAAATCACGATTAATTCCGCAATCACATTGAAATCACGATTAATTCCGTAATCACTTTGAAATCACGATTAATTCCGTAATCACGTTGAAATCATGATTAACTCCGTAATCACGTTGAAATCACGATTAATTCCGTAACCGCGTTGAAATCACGATTAATTCCGTAATCACGTTGAAATCACGATTAATTCCGTAATTACGTAAAAAAAATCGAAATAACAACAAAAATCAGAAAAGGCAATTTCAAATACTATTATACTCTTTTTATTTTGCACCTTACAAAAAAAATGAAATAGAATTTCGGATAAAAAAAAAGAAATTAAAAACTTGAAATTGATGAACTTTTAAAATATCCTCTAATTAAATAAGTACATACCTGAAGTATTAAAAATTAATTACAAACGAATAAAAGCGAAAAAAATGGTAAACAAAAATTTTCAAAATTCCAAAAAATTAGTCTAAAATTCAAATTCGCCTTAATACTGTACATTTATAATTAATCAAGATTATTTATGAGTTGAATAATCATGATTAATTAATTGTATGTATTCGTTGATGATTGTTTAACTTTCATAAATTGTTTGTTTGTTTGTTTATTTATTCTATTTCAATGAGATATTCATAAATATTTCATTTAAGCTTTATTACGTTTAATAAAAAAAAAAAATTCTACAAAAATACTTACAACATGAAAATAAAATGGATGGAAAAAGAAATAATGTGAATAAAAAATAAAATAAAATAAAAATTACAGAAAAAAGAAAATTGAATTCAAAAAAAAAAAAAACTTTCACTTTTTTTTTTTTTGAAAAAATTGAAATTTGGCGTTAAAATTCGTTTCGTTTTTCCTTTTGAAGTAATAATAAAATTTTATTTAAAAAAAAATTGTTAAGCAAAGACACTCAACATTAAATGAATTGATAAAAAAATTAAAAAGAAAATAAATCAATTCATTTTACAATGAATAAAATAAATTGTTAAATCAATAAATGATTCCAAAATATGAAATATACAATTCCAAAATATGAAATATACAAAACTAATTATGAATATACATGCATGTATATAATAGATGCTGCAATGATATTTTTTAAGAAATTTTAAATTTTATTTTAAAAACTTTCAGAAAATGAAATGAAATGGAATATTAATTATTTAAAATACACTTTGAAAAAAAAAATTCCTTTTTTTTAATGAAAAAAAAAAAGCCAAATTGTTGCATCGAATAAGGAATTATAAACAATATAATAAAAAGCATTTGCAAAGAAAAGGAGAGAGAGGGGGAGAGAGGGAGAAAGGGAGAGAGAGAGAGAGAGAGAGAGAAAAACAATTGAAAAGGAGGTAGAAAAAGAAGAAGAAGGAAGAAATTAAGAAATTGTTAAGTTCAGTAAGTTTAACGTTCTTTTGTTTCAGATTTGTTCGTTTTATTCATAGCGTACGTCAAGTACGTGTAGAAACCTGTCCACAAAACGTATGGTACTAGCAATAAACCAGCTTTGTAGTCAATCTGGAAAGAAATATTTTTTAAAAATTTTTAAACAATTTGAAAAAGGGAAAAATTTTTATTGAAAAATTTAAATTTTTTTGAAAAAAAAATTAAGCAAATTTTTTTTTGTAAAAATATATAATTTTTCGTTTTTTTTTTAAAAATAAAAAAAATCGACTTTAATAAAAAAAACTAAAATTAAATAAATAATTTATGGAAATATTAAATAAATTTTATTAAATGGATATAGTATTAAAACTGTAGCTTTAACTCCTAACCTTTTTTTAATTTATTTTTTCAATCCTAACTTTTGATTAATTTAAACATTCTAATATCTGATAATTATACAAATCATAATGTTTAATGATAATTTAATTGATATATTAATTTAAAAATTCAAAAAATATATAATTTAACTGATATACTGAATTAAAAAACAATTATTTTCCTACTCAATTTTTATTTATTTTATAACAAAATATACCTTTAAAAATGCAATCGCTGCTCCAGCTGCAGTCAAATGCATTATAAGCGTGTTACGAAATAACTGAAAGTATGAAAATAAATTTAAATTGAAAATTGAAAATATACTTAAAATTAAATATACAGCATTCAATTAAATACACAACATAAAAAAAAAAAAAAAACATTCAAAAAATGAAGAAAAAAGAGCAACGATCATACTGTATCATAAACAACAAATAAAAAATTACAAGTTTAAAAAAAAATGGTAGAGTTATATTTTTCTAGCAATATATATATATATATCACATAATTTCATATTTATTTACAAATATTAATTGAAATCAGAAATGAAAAATGAAAAGAAATATTTGATAAAACAATTTAATGAATAGTAAAAAAAAAAAAATGTTGAATAAATATTTTAAAAATTAACACTTACACTATGAGAACTCTTCTTTTTCACCAATGGCATTGTAAGAAATGCACAAATCATACTACCACCATATAATGTCAAAGCAAGTTTTGTGTCATTATGTGCCAAACCTTTAAAATTAAAAAAAAAAAAAAAGTAACGAAGAATAAAAAATTCCGAATTTCATTTTATATTTCATATTTCAATTTTATTTTTTCATTTTTTTTTTACTATCCTTTTTTTTCAACATACATATATGAATTTATTTACTTACTTGTTTCTAGGTTGCCCAATTAACAATCTGATTTTGTAATAGAAATAAGAAATCTTTCACTTATTTTTTTTTTTTTAATGCCAAGAAATTTTAACTTTGTTTTTTAATTATATATTGTGTATGTGTAATTGTTGTGATTGAAAGAAATATCGTGATCTATATTTGTTGATCTAATTCTATTTGAAGTCTAGTAGTTCGAAAAAATGTTGCTTTAAAGCCATCAGTAATGAATAATTTATTTTGCAATTATTCATATTAGTATGAAGAAAAAATCATTCAATAAACTTTTTTTTTAGGTAAATTTTTATTTGTGAATGAGTAAAGGAGAGGAAAAAAAAAACAAACAAACCTCCACCATATTTATATGCCATATATGATGCCAAACCAAGAGGCGCAATTGTCACACCATCAATAAATCCGTAAATTGCTGGATTTTCCGGTGCCCAATTTGGTTTATTTATTGCCTATGAAAATATAAAATTGTTAGATACGTTTACTATTTCCATTTTTTTTTTCCTTTTACTTACAAAAAAAAAAATTATTTATTTTATTTATTTTTTATATTAAATAATAGAATTAAGGAGGAAATAATAATGAAGAAAAATAAAAATGTGAAATTAAAATTAGGAAAAATTATTGAAAGAAAAAATTTTTATTTCCTTTTCATATCATTGTCATATGCTTTCTCTCTTTATAAGAATATATGATGTAAGTATTATTTATTTATGGAATAAGCATAATTATTTCATCAATTTTATTTTTCTTTTTTTTTTATTTTCTTTACAATAATATTTTATAATAATAAATGAAAAATAAAAAAAACTTACAAATGACCAACCGGACAAATTTTCTTCCTTCCTAAATGACACATTAGCATATAATGATAATGCACCTGGTACTAATGAAAATAAAATGGCACGTTTCGTATCTTCTGATGTCCAAATTGAATTCATGCTAGTATGTTTTATACCATATCCATAAGTTGGAATACCTGTTGAAAAAAAAACAATTAAATTTTTTTAAACGTAAATGTAAATGAAGTGGAAATGAAATTTGTGCAAAAAAAAAAAAGGAGAAAAAAGAAAACACTTGGAATATTTTTTCAAAAAAAGAATAAAAACGATTGAAATGATTACTGATTCATTCTGTGCAATAATAATTAATCAAATGATTATCATTAAATTTTAAAATTAATAATCATATTGCAATAAAAAATAAATGAAAAAAAAACGCAATTTGAGATTTAAATTAATAATTTTAAATCATAACTTAAATTTTCATACATTTTATAACAAATATCTTATGATAATTAGCTGCTCACCATGTATACTATCGTCATAGCGATACATTAACAATGTTCTGATCATTTGTTATAATCAGATATAAGAATTGAAATAAGCGATATTTAAGCGTTTCGCGTTTTTTCACGCCTAAAATAAAAGTGATTTTTTTTAAAGAGAAAAGGACCGAAAAGTCATCACTGTCGTGTAAAGTTCAGTTGTTACTACTTACTACTACGACAAATGACTAAATGTGACATACACATAATAATAAATAAGAATAATTATGGTGATAATAATGATAACAATAATAATAATAAGAATATTCACTAATTAGCGTAAATTACTCTTTCTACTACTACCACTACTACTAGTAGTAGTAATAATAGTAATAATATTCACTAATTAGGTTTCAACAGTTCACTATTATCATCATTATTGTTGCCAATAGTAAAAAATAATAATAACAATAACAACAATAATAATAATGAATAACAATAATAAATAATAACATTAATAATAATAGTTAATAACAACAATAATCATAATCATAATAAAAAATAATAATTATGGCAATGATAATAATAATAATAATAATAATAATAATAATAATAATAATAATAATAATAATAATAATAATAATAATAATAATAATAATAATAATAATAATAATAATAATAATAATAATAATAATAATAATAATAATAATGATAATAATAACAATAACAATAATAATAATAATAATAATGGTGATAATGATAATAGTAATGGCGATGACACTGATAATAATATGAATAATACCTATGATAATAATAATAATAATAATAATGGTAACAGTAATAAATAAGGGAAACAGTAATTCGACAATGTCAAATGTTTATTATAACGACTAAGAATATGAATACGTGCGTTGTTACTACTACGACAAATGACAAAATGTGACATACACATACACGCATACATCACATACACACACACACATGACAGAAAGCTAGGAAAGAGCTTCTGGATAATTAGTATAGAAGACGATAGATTGTTAAGGCACCAATCGATCAAAGAATTGTGGGCAGAGTATAGAAATCAATGATATTTTGGTAAACATCCCCATATTGTTGGATGGGTTGGGTAAAATGTTTATATATAAACAGACACACATACACATACACACAGACACAGACACACACACACAGATACACGCACACGCACATGAACATACACACATACGCACAGCATATGATTGCTGTTGTTCGTTATAATTACTGAAAATGACTTAAATCATTTTAGAAATTTCGTTAATTTAAATTTTGGTATTTTAAATTTTAAAATGCATACAAATATTCCCATTACACTAATTGCTACATTTTACAGCTTCAGTTTCTCTCGGAAAAATTTAACTTTTTAAGCAGTGCCAAAATTTCACAACTATGCTTTCTTAAAATTCATTTATATATTCTCTAACTTCACTTAGCTATTCTATAACAGCATTTTTCTCAATACATTCTCAATTTTTATCTTTCAATTCTCGGTTTTCATCATTTTCCACAACAACTGACAATTAATTCAATCATTCAACAATAAATGAAACTATTTAAGAGAAAAAAAAAAAGAAAAACATTTGTTATTCATTGATGCGAACAAAAATTTGTAAAGGGATCTATCTACTCCAGTTTGTTGTAAATACATTACTAACTAAAAAAGACCAATATGAAATGATAAGTAAATTCTATTCTATTATCATAACATTGATACGTTATCTTTCCTTTACGTGACCTATCTTACGTTCTTACGTGAATAGTTTTGTCACCATGTTTCTCGATTTGAAGCTAAAATGGACCACTGCAATAGTTGAATTGTTTTAGAGAGAATTCTTATATCTTTTTTTTTTTTTCTGTGATAGTAAAGAGCTTACCATAAAAAGTAAAATCGTAGAGAAATGATCATAATCTTTCATTTTAAAGATATGACCTTTAACATATCTAACAAAGTTATATTCTAAGTAATATAACCTCTGTCAATACCTTTATATTTGGATGATCAATATTTGTTCGAGAACAGTAATATTAGTCTGAATTATTCAAAGAGTCACACATAATGATGACAGATGGTGGCCGATAATTTTAATTCATACAGAAGAGTTGATAATTGTTTCATACTTTTTTCTTTAATGGAATATCTTTGCTGGTCTATTGTCAACCTCTCTCTCTATATATATTAATGTTGAGAACCGAAGAAATGATACTTCCTAAAATAGATAAAATTACTCGATTGATGTAAGCTTAGATGGATAGAGTGATAATTGGCCTATATAACTGATAAAGGATTTAATATCTTCTTTTAAACTGATATTCTGAATTCAAAAAAAATTTTTCGGTTCCTACAAAGCAAAAAGTTATGCAAAGGAAAAAAAAACAAATTCTCGAATAAAGTAATATAGAGTTTAGTTTTCCATTTGCAATCGCTTAAAGATTGAATAGGCTCAAAATCATTGCTACAATATAAATATCTTTTCATCGATGATTGTTGTAATTCGTTGGTGCAAGAATGCCCATTAATTATTGTGGAAAAATTAAAATTTCAATTTTCATATCTGATTTGTCTGTGTTGATTCTCGTCCAATAGATATGATCATCTTGATGAACTTAAAGGGACATTTTAATCACTGTAACATCTATCACAACCCTTTTCTGTTTACGTTATTAAATGTTCTGATAAGATCAACAAAGATCATATGACGTTCTCTGTATTGTTTCTTACAGTTTTTTTTGCACTTCTCTTACTGAGTATATCTTCTCATTATCTCTAAAACCATAATGATTTTCAGATAGAAATTACTTTACAATAATAGTTATTAATCTATTTCAAAGTATTTTTAGCACAGAGAAAAATTTAGAAGAACTGAGATTAAAAGGGAAAAAATAAAAAAATGGTAAGTTTTTAATTTCCAACGAAATGCTTTTTTGTTTTTTGTTTTTATTTAACTAATAATAATTTTTTGATTTTCAAAAATACATACAAATGCTAAACGTACACGTATAAGCACGCGTAAAAGAAATATGTACACGCATATTTACTTGTATGTAAAATACACTTAATAAATTTACTTTGTTTTTTCATTAAATATTGCAGGGAAGATTTCAATGAAATAATTTTTGTGGATTATTTTGAATTTTATTCAAATTTTAATTTTTCTTATCGATAGAACGTGAAAATGAAAATGCTTTAGAAAAAAAAAATCATAATTAAATGAGTGATATGATACATTAATTTATAGATATTGGAATGTTGATGGTCATTTGAATTGTGGACAACAATCACTGAATAATCCATATTACATATTTGGTATATTATCAAACTTTAAATTCAAACGTAATATAATAATAAGTGATAATAACGACAGGTGATAATGATGATAACGACAAAGATATAGAATAATAATAATAACAAGAATTCGGATTCGATTTATTGCTCGCAATTTCTATAAGTAACTTAATATTAATTTCAAAAGAAAAAAATTAATAAATTTTCAATACTTTATGAAACATAGTTTATGTTTAATATTCTAAAAACAACCTGACTCCGAGTCAGAATTCAGTTTAATTATCGATAATCATCGATTTCTTTGCCAGTTCTAAATTAATAGAGGTTTGATTTTTGCTTTCTTACAATACAAAAAACGAAAAATGTTGCAAAAAGCATCAAATCAATTCACTATCAATTATCGGCACATTTCAGAAAGTTTCTGAATTTATGATAAATTCAAATGGAACCTAAAAAATTGAAAAATGTCATTTTTTACGAATATTCCTTGAATGAATCAGCAAGATTTATTGAGTATTAAAGTTCAACAGTGATCTTCTAGGCAATTTTATTTGCATCATTTATTTACTTTAATATAGATTAACACGCATAATATGTGATGTGGAAGTCAAATTGGGATGTTTTAGAGATCAGAAGAGAAAGTAAATGACATTCGCTGTAAAGACGAAAAGGGTTGAACAGTAAGTAACAAAGAAAACAAAACGTTTGCATATATTGTGATGAGTGCGAGAGAATACTATCATAGATATTTTTGTTCTCTCTCAACTTATTGCTAAATAAATCTTAGTATTTTCATATATTATATAACATATCAAAAAAGAAAAAAGAAATTGTCTTTTGTTATTCCCTCCATCATTCTTCCATACAAATATCAGAATTTGAATTTTTCCCTCTGTCAGATTTTTTTTTAAATTTTAGTCCCGAGATGCTAGTGATGAATGAGCGCCAATTCGGTTTTTGCGCAAAAGGCATAATTTGAATGATAGAACTGGGAATTTCATATTGCTCGAATATGATTTTAGGACTGGATCCTGTTCAAATTACAATGAAAATTTGATTTTGCCTAGCTAAATTGATGAATATCAAAATCAACAAGTACTCAACAATAATAATTTTCATACTTGGTCGTGTAAAGATTTTGCTACCAATAAAGTGCGCGAATTGCTGTAAGCACATAAGTCATTCAAAATGTGCTTCCACTTATCATACCAACAAAAACTGCTACAAGGGTAACAGAAGAATCGACCCAACTTTTGATTTTAGAAAAAATTTTGTGTTTGCAGTTAGGATGTGATAAATGTTGAAAAGATTTTAACCTTTTTTTTCCAACAATAAAAACAAAAAGTAATGGCTTTTAGATAAATATCAATGACGACTTATTGTATCTAAGCGTTTATGGAGATAGTACGAATGAATGCAAATTCATTTCAAATAGCTTACGAAAGGTCACAAATTGTGAAGTGAAAACACGCTTTAATGTAAATTCTTCATCGGTTGATTTATTACAATGGATATTTGAAAAGTTTAAAATAATAATGATAAAAACAAATTGCTGTGAGACTCATTTCATTTGGTGACAGAAACGTATGAAGTCAAAAAATAAAAATTTGAACTTGATAGCAGTATATAAACATTGAAAACTAAAGTAAAATCCAGCAGCAAGAACTAATTAGGAATGAGTATTAAAAGCATAAATGTATATTTAACATTCCAGAAAGAAAATATTTGCAAGCTTTGAATCAACATTCGGTTTGCTTACAAATTAAAAA